CTATTCTAACCCTCGCAATACCGTTTCTTGGAGCTATCCTTGAACCACAAATACTACCGTACCTCTCAATTACAGTTCCACTGTTGTATCACTGTATATCAACTTTCCTTCATAAAAACTAACGCCGAACGCTCCCGCACTCGCCGCTGCGAGTGTGCTGTGTCGCTATTATAATGATAATAATATATAAAGTATATTATTATATATATTTCCCAAGTGCCTGTGACCTGGATAGACAATCGGTCGCACAGCCTGGTCGGGCTAACACGCACGCAGCTTCACATTTACAATTAGGCCTACATACACGCACACAGACTCGGTGCCACACACGCAGGCACGCACGCACGCACGCACGCACGCGTGAGGAAAGATTAAGATATCACATTGAACGTATATCTATAAAATCTATACACTATAGATGTGTTTGTGATTTTACCCATAAACCTATTTTTTCAAGGTGAATCCTGACAAAGCGTCAAACGAACAACACTCCCAGCATACACTGCACAAGATGTCCATCATCACCGTGCAGATAGGCCAGTGTGGCAACCAGATCGGCACTCAGCTGTTCTCGACCATCTACGACGACATTTTCTCGAAGGACACCGGCATTCAAGCGTCTAAGAACGAAGACTACATGGACGCGGCGCTCAACCGTTTCTTCAGCTGCGAGGGAAGCGTTCCAGAAGCGAGAGCCGTGATGGTTGACATGGAACAGAAGGTCATTTCGCAGGCAGTCAGCGCTGCAAAAAGGACAGGTAATCTGACGCCAAGCTTGTCTAATTAAGCGAAGATTCTTAGCAGAGATCAGGTAGGTATCTTAGCAAAAAGGACAGGTAACTCAACACCAATCTTGTCGAATTAAACGAGTTCACGTAATCTCGAATACGTTTCACGACCGAACCCACGATCGTGGATTCTGCTCAATCTTAGTTTGGGACAACTGTATATATATAGTTCACATATATGCTAAACTAATCCGGAGTGCTAAACTAAACTGCTAAACTCTTCTCTCTCTCGGACAGGTCGGTGGCGGTTTGCGAGCGGTCAGCAGTACGTAAGGGGCAGCGGATCGGGCAACAACTGGGCGCGAGGTTTCGCCGCGCACGGCCCGCGAGCGAGCGACGCCGTCCTCGACATGCTGCGCCACGAATCCGAGAAGTGCGACCGCGCGGACGGCTTCCTCTTTGCGACGAGCCTCGCGGGAGGGACCGGCTCCGGCGTCGGCGCGCGGCTCTGCGCTCGCGTGAGGGAGGAGCACCCGCGCGCCGTCGTCGTCTGCCACGCCGTCGCCCCCTATGCGGCCGGCGAGGTCGCCGTGCAGAGCTACAACGCGCTGCTGACGCTCGCGAGTCTCCGCCGCGGCGGCGCGGACGCTGTCGTCCTGTCCGCGAACGACGACCTTCACGCCGTCTGCGCCACGACCCCGCGCGGCGGCGGCGGGCGAGAGCCGGTCTCGTTCGACGACCTCAACGCGGTCGCGTGCCGGCAGCTCGCCGCCGCGCTGCTTCCCGCCGAGGGGGCGCCGCCGTCGCTGTCGGACGTCGTCGATGCGCTCGCGCCGCACGCTGACTACAGGCTGCTGTCGATGCGTCACGCGCCGCAGCCGACGGCCGCCGCGCTGCCCTTCACAGAGGTCGCGTGGACGCCGCTGCTGCGCCGGCTGCGGCGGATGCACGCGGCAACGAGCGCGCGCGACGAGGGGTTCGAGAGGGAGAGCGGGCGCGTGCGCAGCGTCGCCGACCTACTCACCGTGCGTGGTGACGGCGCCGACGACGCCGACTGCGACGCGATCGCCGACCACCGCGGCGCCGTGTGGGCGCCCCCTGGCGAGCGGGTGCGCGTGCGGCGCTGCCGCCGGCGTTACGGCGGGCTGCGGAGGTCGGCTGTGCTCGTCAGCAACAGCCAGGCGGTGCTGGGGACGGTGGAGGGCATCACGGAGAAGGCGTGGCGGCTGTTCGCGTCGCGCGCCTACCTGCACCAGTACGTCGCGTGCGGACTCACGGAGGACGACTTTGTACAGAGTTTTGCCGACGTCGAACAGGTCATTCACAGCTACAGACATCTCTGATAGATTATAGAAATTATATCTCTGCATGAGTTATAGTGAGAATTACGTTGTGAAATATGTTATGTGAATTATAGATGAACCTTTCAGTACTGTAACATATTGAAATGATGTATATAGAGTTTGTAATTGAACAAGATTCTGTTGTAAATATGTTTGTGTCGATGACGAGCTTGCCTGGCGGTGTGGAGCTTGCTCATGTTTATATTCTTTAGCAATGTACTTTAAATGAATAAATTTTAAATTTTAATATATTTTTTCATGTCTTTAAATAAATAACTGATAAATGAGTGAATAAAAACAAAACTAAACATTTGTTTATAGTACTAGGGTTTGTCTATATTCAGGCCGGTACAGGAGATAATTTGCATATTTTATCACGTGGTTTATGTTATAACCAATCAGTTGTAATCGCGTGTTCGTGACGTCACTTCCAGCTGTGAAGAAGATGGTGAAGGAGGAGGAAGGGGAGAAGGGAGAAGGTGGTGGAGAAGGAGGAGGGGAGAAGCTGGTGGAGAAGGAGGAAGGGGAGAAGGGAGAAGATGGTGGAGAAAGAGGAGGGGAGAAGCTGGTGGAGAAGGAGGAGGGGAGAAGGGAGAAGGTGGGTGGCCGCGCGAGGAGGGGGAGAAGCTAGTGGAGAAGGAGGGGAGAAGCTGGTGGAGAAGGAGGAAGGGGAGAAGGGAGAAGGTGGTGGAGAAAGAGGAGGGGAGAAGCTGGTGGAGAAGGAGGAGGGGAGAAGGGAGAAGGTGGTGGAGAAGCTAGTGGAGAAGGAGGGGAGAAGCTGGTGGAGAAGGAGGAGGGGAGAAG